CGGGAGCGGGGACTGGGCCCAGGGAGGCAGCCGCAGGGGGGAGAAATCGAACGTGAGTCCTGGGCCAAAACTCCTGCCCGGCGGCACCACTGTTTGTTTTCACAGCGCCGGGCAGAGACTGTCCTCCCGTCACCTCCTGGCTGTCCCCACGGTGGCAGCAGGGAGGGCGGCAGCAGGAAGGGCAGGGACGGGCCGTCTCCACGCACCAAACCCGCCCACTGTGGGGCGTGCATGAGGCAGCCGATCCATTCTTTTCTCTCATCATAGTTGTTTCTCTCCCTCTCTCCTTCTCCCTTCCTCTCTGAAATCAATAAAAAAAATTTTTTTTTTAAGTACGTGCAGCTGCAACTGTAGGCACCTGATAAACCCCCAAGAGAGTGGCACTCAGCTCCTGCACCCCGTGGCATCGCCCTCCAAGGCCCAGGAGTGGCCGGGGGAGCGTGGGCTTATGCAGCAGCTCCTGTCTGCCCAGGACACGCCACCGGCCTTGACATCAGCTCGCTGGGTTCTCCTGGCATCGCTCCAGCAAAAACCCTTTGATCCTCACTTCGCGGGAGAGAAAACGGAGGATCGTAAAGATGGCACTTGTCTCCGATGCATCAGGCAATAAACGGTGGAGGCGTAACTGAAATTCAAAGCCAGGCTCGCCGGGCTGCAAAGGGCGCCCCCTGCCCCACCCAGCTCCACAAGGGGCAGGAGGAAGGGCGCGTCTCTGAGGTCGGCGGGAGCTGCCACGTGCCCACGGCGGACTTCCACGCGGAAGGCAGACTCCGAGTCCTGCCCGGCGTGTGCCTGACCTTTCAGAGAAAAGGGAACGGCGCCGGGGCTGCGTCCGGGGTTTCTGGGTCGGCACCGGGGAGCTGAGACGAAGCATCCCAAAGTGGAATTCCACAGAGGAAAACGAGTCCCAGGAGCTGGTGTGGACGAGACTGAACCATGGGTGTAGCCATGACTGGCCTCAAAACCCGGCCGGCGGCGAGGACCCCGGCTCCACCACGCCACACCCCTCAGGCAAGTCGGGTCCGAACACCGAGCGTCACCTGTTCTGAGAGGCACGCTTTTCCCATCGCAACATCTCGGGATGGACATCAGCCAACCGGAAGCTTCAGGGACAGAGAGGGCTTGGGGGCGTTCTACCCTGACTCTGCGTTTTATTCTATTTTTTAAATATGCACTGAGTGGCCAGATTATGATGACCACACCATCAGTACAATGAAGTGAATTAGTTACGCAAATAACAATAATAATAATAAGACCTTGAGAGTATTTGCTTAGGAAGTTTCCAATATTCGGTATTTTTGGAAGAGTCAATGAAGTACTGATGAGGTGGTCATCATAATCTGGCCACTCAGGGTATATTTTTATTGATGTCAGACAGGAAAGGAGAGAGAGAGAGAGAAAGAAGCATCCATGATGAGAGAGAATCACGGATCGGCTGCCTCCTGCACGCCCCACACTGGGGATCGGGTCTGCAACCGGGCATGTGCCTCGACCGGGAATCGAACCGTGACCTCCTGGTTCATAGGTGGACGCTCAACCACTGAGCCACGCTGGCCGGGCCCAGTTCTGCATTTTACAAAGGAGAACACGGAAGCCGCACAGACCCTTCTGCGTGGCCCAGTGACCTCTTGGGGCCGCGGGGCTGCCGGCTGGGGAGACACCTGCCCTGGGGCCGCCTGGTCCCACAGCTCCGACACGCTGAGGCTGCATGACAGGAGGATGGCACCTTCCCAGCCGCAACTGAAGGACACGCCGTCTCCTCCAGCAAGAGACAGATTGGTGGATTTTTCTCCCCAAATAGCACACGGGTTACAGGGTAGGAAAGAGAAAGAGCATTAACTTAGGGAACATTCGCAGCATGTCTGCAGTCAGAACGTGACAACATCATCTATTCTGAGCACGAGAGGAGTTTGCCAATTCCTAACGGGCCAATTAGAAGCAGACTGCAGACCGACAGCAAGCTCATCACGGAATTATGAGCGCGCCCAAAATACTCCGCATTCCTCCCGCACGGCCGGCGGCGGCACGTGGCCACGGAGTGTGGGCTGTGGCCACGGAGTGCTGGCCGTGGCACGGGCGCCCCGGGGGGGACTGCTGACCTTTTCGACACCCTCCGTGGCTCTGGTACCCAGAACGGGCCCAGCGGAGCTGCTCTGGAAGATGCGGAGGCACCAGGAGGCCTGATGGGGAGGCGCACGCACCCTGGGACAGAGCATGGGGACGCAGGCCCAGATCTGGGAAGGCGCAGGCTGGATGGAGACGCCGTCCTGAGCGGGGCCCTTCGGGGTACAGGGAGGAGCGCTCAGGCAGACGGAAGAGGGAATCCCTAGAGGAGCGAGACTGGAGCATGAGAATCTAGATAAGACGCCGCCCAGCCACAGCTCAGCTACGCAAACCGTGGGGTCAGACACACCCAGGAAAGAGCAAAGTCCCACACCGAGTCCTGAACCCGTCCCCATCTCTTGTCTAGGCCAGTTTCCGCTGTCTCTCCCGCTCTCTGGACACGACCCGAGGACAGGGGAGCCAACTGGGACCTTTATTCCACGGAGGGAGACGCAGCCGCCTGGGCTCCCGGACACAACGGAGGGTGCACCCTGGGGCGGAGGCAGGGCCGACCAAGTCCCAGCGACGGAGGGGAGGGTGCTGACAGCCCCCGTGACCTACATGCGGCCCCGACAGTAACTCCTGATACGGGACACCCCGGCTACTTCCAGACACAGCTCAACCAGAGAGGTTTTCCACTCCATGGGCAGATTTGGGAAGGATTCCTACCTACCTTTTCTATTTTCTTTTTTGTCTTTTTTAACACAACATTTAGTAACACTGGTGACACGCGTACATTCCAGCTGGCACAAGCCCACTTCGGCCACAGCCTGGCTCAGAGGCCCTTGGTTGGGGGACAGCGTTTCAGTGTGTCTCCCCCGCTCCCAGTCTGCACATCTGCAGCACAATTAGAAGGAAATAGTAAAATTAACTCCAAGAAAGTCTCTATCAGTAACTTCGAGGCACCTAGCCCGGCCAGCATGGCTCAGCGGTTGAGTGTTGACTTAAGAACCAGGAGGTCATGGTTCGATTCCCGGTCAGGGCACATGCGTGGGTTGTGGGCTCCATCCCCAGTGACGGACCCTGCAGGTGGCAGCCGATCCAAGATTCTCTCTCATCACTGATGTTCCTATCTCTCTCTCCCTCTCCCTTCCTCTCTGAAATCCATACAAATTAAAAAAAAAAAAATGAAACTGCATCCACATCTACGTGGGTAGTATCTTTCACACGGTACAGATCTGCTGGCATTTCTTTTTAAGTGGGCGCTGGGTGTGTGATCAGCTTCAGTGTCCGCGGAAGACACAAGGACAGGGCAGGGGACCTCAGCTCACCCACAGGCCACCACGTAGGTGTGTTA